TTTTGGTTGATAAGGTCCAACATTTAGATAAGCCCGCCGAATCTGATCACGTTCATTAAATGAATGTTCACATATTTGCTTTCTTTTTCCAGGGTCTCGTTCAATAGAATCAGATGGTTCAAAATTAAGATTTGAAGATGAAGGCCGTTCAACTTCAGGGCATGAAACTGGAGGAATGGACGCCGTACGAATTGGAGAATCCTGAGATTTGTTACTTTTTGAAAAGAAAGACAATAAGGTTCTACCTTTCTTGGTAGAAGGTCGATCTTCTTCCATATTAAATCTAAAAGCATAAAAATAAAAAGCAATTTAGGGACAAGTATTTCTATTTAATAGATATCATAATTACAACAAGAAGAACAAGGAGGACAGATCAATTCATGAAGCAAAAATAAACGCATATCTTTTCTCTATTTGATTATATACATAATACAAAATTCTATATATTAAACTTTCGATCAAAGTCCAGCCATGAACTTTCTCTTTTATTTCTTCTCACTTGGATTGCCGGGTTCGTATTCTCTCTTCAAAAATATTGTTCCATTTTACCCAGTATCTTACATGCATGTATATTTTGAATATTTCCTTTTAAGTTCTGTATTGATTTTTTACTTTATTTTCTTTCCTTCCAAGAATTTCAACCGTATTTTCCTGTTGCAGAGATACATTCAATTTAGTGGGTTGCGTTCTTGAACCTGCTACCGTATGTACCATTTCATTGGCCTGATGCTTTACTGATACAAACTTTTCTTTCTTTTTTCTTCATTAGCATTAAATTAATAAAAATAAAATAAAGTTCTAAGCATTCTATTTTTATATGGTTTCTCTTATCTCTCTCTTTCTCTCATTTTCTTTATATGTTTGGGGGTGGTGGTTCATGGATGCAGCTGCCAACCCAATACTACACTGCTTTGGTAAGATTACTTCATCCTCAACTCTGTAACTAGAAATTGGAAATAATCATTCGACTTATTCATGAATTTTAGCAGTAAATACTATCTTAATTTGAACTAATTTATTTTTCTTCTGATCTTTTCTTTTTTCTCTCTTCCATCCATCATCAGCTTTACACAACAAGTACAGTGATACTAGTGTTGCAGTGTTTATATTATGACTACTATAAATGTTGGAGAAACAAAGAAAAAGAACCAATCCAAGAGGTATGTATTACTAAATTTTATTGCAAAACACATTTTGTAGACCAAGCAGTCCAGTATATATATAAAATAAGTAATTTACAATTTATTGTCTCAGGTTGAAGAAGTGAAAAAACCTCTGAAACCTCTAAGAACATGCTAGCTATACAATATTTCACTAAACTTGACCGTAAAATAGAAAGATTTTAACTTAGCCTATGTTCAGGAAAGATTTATTAGGAATTATTTAGGATGAATATTGGTGGAGAATGGAGATTATGAAATATGTGAATACTAATGAATAGTAGTTGTAATATGTAATTAAAATTAAAGTTTGATTTTAACTTGATAGTTAAAATAACTTATAAGTTACTAAAAATGATGGCTTAATATTGTTCAAGAATCCAGAGTCTACATAACAAAACGAAGCATTAGTGAACTCACATGTTTACAGCAAGCTTATTTAGGGAATTAATCTCAGTATGTTAAGATTAATAAACAAGGACTTATTATTCTTTAATTCTTATCCAGCATTCTCCATATATTCTGTATCATTACTCATGCTGAGAAGGTAAGCAGTAAGAACATTAAATTAACAATAAATATGCACAATACAAATTATACAATTCACCACACCGCCATTGCCAAAGTAAAGCAAGCCCAAATAAGTTTAGGAATTAGCCAATTAGGAGCCTTTCTTATTTCACCACCAGTCTAGCGAGCAGGGGCGATATTCTGAAAACGGAAATTCGGAAAACCAATTTTTTCTACTCCTCCAAGCTATTCATTATTTATTTCACATTTACTTTCTGTTTTTGGAAATCAAATTAAAAGACAAACAATGGATGAATTGAACAAGAAACTAAATAGTAAATTACTTACCCTAAAAACCTAACCCAAGTCGTCGGCGGGTAGGTTTGAGGCGGCGAATCGGTAGGCAGGCAGCAGGCTTGAGTCGGGCCAGTCGATAATCAACAATTTCGTTCGGCCGGTGGCTACGAGCAGGGACAAACATCACAAACCGGCATGGAAAATGTTGGCTGTTTGTGTGAGTTCATTTTGCACATTAGGAATGGAAAATGTTTGGGAATTGGGGATTAATTATTTGATTAATGGAATGGGTATTATTTTGGGCCTAAAATTATATAGGTTAGTGGGCTGCAAATAATTTTTTTTTTTTAAGTGGGCTAGCCCACTGAATTTATTTGTTAAAGGGCTAATGTGGCTGAATAATTAGAATTCAAACCCAATTTTTTTTTTTTTTTTTTTTTTTTTGGATCTGGGCCTGGAAGACAGTGGGCTGCAGCCAAGTGCAGCCCACTGCTAAATCCGCCCCTGAGGGCGAACAAACATCCCAGATGAGGAAAAACAAATCCAAGTGATTTTGATCATCAAACATCATGAAATACAGAATAATCCTCTATTTCCTGGTCCATATACCTTGAGCAGGATCACTGTTCTTATTATTCAGAATACGAAAATCAATCAGAAATAGAAATCACAAAGGATCATGGAATTGTGCGCTCATAGAGGGGCAAAGCGCCCAAAGCCTCACGTTCAGCTTGCTCTTTCTTTACCTGCATAAATATTAAACACAGACATAAATTAGTACTTCAAATGTAAGTATTTATCGGAAAAGGAAGATCGCAGAAACATTCTATGTACAGCATTCTCTGCCCACAACTTCGGAGAATTTCGTGAAAATAAACCCAAATCATTTACACTAATCTTTACCAATACCATGTTCCAAGTAAAAGACATCACAAAGGCAAAGCAATTCATTATTTTCTTGCACTACGAATATAAAGATCAAGAAACTGGGAGATAAAGACTTTAAGACAGATCAAGGAAAGATTTGACACTTTGTGCTTGTTTGGATTTCATTAAAATCTCCTTATAGTTTGAAGTCAAAGTTAAACATTAATTTTAAATATACATTTATAACTACTACCCACTTATTATCCACACGTTTCATAGGGACTCATTACTCTTCATTATAATATCATTCTAACGAAACCCAAACAAGCACTTAGTCGGAACTACATTATAAACTTTTCAATGCATCAGCCGCCAAGACATCCCTTTCCACTAAAGCACAACATTTACTGTTTGACGTCTGAAATTACATACTGAGGTTAACATAAAAAAACATTTGTTCAGAGATACCAATGGAAAAATTTTCTTCTTTGCGAAGAAACAGAGGAAGTAGAAATCAGTATGCCAGTTAAGAAAACACATACAAGGAGATCTATTGGCCTAAGCCAATCTCATAAATGCATATGAAAATTTCCAAAAATTTGTAGTAAATCACTGGTAGAACTAAACTGGTTTTGACAGAACTCATAGTCAGAATCATAAAAATTCCAAACGATAATTAAGAAATAATTAGGCCACAGTGCAACAACATTAGAACAGGTACTTACAAGAGCTAACATTTCCTGAAGATAGCTTCTAAATGGTGTCTGCATGGCCTGCAAACGAAAAAAAGAAATACATTAATTGCCATAACAAAAGACGTTTTATTCAATATATCCAAAGCTGTCGACAAGACAATCAAGTATCAAGCTGGGAAGATGTGGCAAACAGATCCCTATACGTATACGATGAACTCCAGATGATTGCATAGTATGGAATATATTGAAAAGTGGTGCCACAAGAGGTGAGCATGAACTTTATTATACAAATTTCACATTAAAATCTAACAACAGCTTAAGTTATCATGAGACACCAGTACCCCCATCCCTCGCTTTGACAAAGCAAGATTGTCCAATTGTATTAATTTGTTCACCAATCCATAAGCAAATATACATTTCAAAAGAAAATTTCAAGAATTGCTTAACTAAATAAGATAAGGAGTCCAAAAGTAGGGTCAAGCTCTCACCCTTTAGTTTAGCAAAAAGGCTAAAGTCATCAGTTTAAATCCATTTAAAGGGCTTTTTCCCGGGTGTTTCAAACACGCTATTTTTTTGGTATGTCACTCAATCAGAGCGAATGAACAATACATAGAGATCAGATATACCCATGACTGATTATAGACTTTATAATGCCTATTTCGAAGGATGGTCAACAGACTTGGAAAGTCACCTTCTTCTTTATCATGTTATTCTACTACAATGTCTCAACTAATGCCTATTGCCTTGCAGGAAGTCTCCTAGAAAGAAGCAAGAACCGAAGGCCTATTATAAAATTCAGTGCATGAACCTATCGAGAAAATGAAATCGATCCTTTTCTTTTAGTTGGAGTGGCTTCTCACTCCTCCTATGTAATCACAAGAAAGAGAAGCACGGAGATACAATAAAATCAATCAAGAGATTATTGACTTTGAGCATATGATGATGGAGATTTTATTGAAGGGTTGCCAAAAATATGTACTTATTTTATGCATAGAGATAAAAAATGAATTATAATTTATTTTCTTGACATAGTCATTTAATATATTCATTCTGCCAGTTTGGAAAGTCGGGGACTAGTCCTTTTTCGTTAGGATTTTAAGTAAGAATAGGACCGGTAACGTTGAAGTTCATCTCTACAATTTTATCCCAATTCTCCAATCCTTTTCTCTTTCTCTTTCCCTTCTATTTCCTATGATTTCTTCAGAATGGTTTGCAAAAGTAAAGAAAGTAAACTGCAGCAGATATCTGTTTCAAATGAATATTTATTTCAAACTAGGGAGCATATTGTAAAATGCCTATGTAGCAAGACATAAAACCAAGGAGATATTCCTGTAAGATTTTAGATAAGTAACACCATTTACCTTAATGTAACTCCCATTTCATCTTCCTCGCCATCCAAATTTCTCAGTAGATTGACAATGTAATTGATTTTACAGATGGTCACTACAGTTCACATTGTTCTATTCGAAACAAAAATTAAATTTCTTTCACACAAACTATTGGAATGGTAAAATTTCAAAAGTGTCAATCATAGTGCTAAATTTTGCAGTCATAAAGGACTTTTAAAAACGCCATATGTTAGAGATAAAACATCAGTCTTCTAGTTATAAACTGACGGATGCATGAATAAGTGGAGCACGAGGAAATCCTTATTTTTGGTCCCTTTTATTGAACCAAAAATTTGCATTAGATCGACTGTAAAGCTGCTAAACACGTTAGATACAGATATTAAAACTTTTCTTCCAAGCAATTTACTCATTGGAAAATTGCATCACCTGTATCTTATGTGATTTAACTTTCTGATCCAAGCTTGCGAATAGAATGTGCTAAGAATGACACCAGTGGAACAAGATAAATCCAACTCCATATAAGTTATCTATTTATCTATGCAAAGGCCAACCAAACAGAGAAAGAGGAATAGTTTCTCTAAAACAAGGTGTAATTATATTTCCAATTGAGGATGGCAATGCAAAGTATTCTTCACCAGTAACTTTCCTCAAATTAATCCTTCCAAAATGACTGCTGACAAGATTATGGTCTCATTCTTGAGGTCACCAAACCAGCCGACATGATGCAAAATAATACGAAGATTCGATTGTATGTACTTAAACAACACATAAAATTATTTCTCCAAGGATATGCAACAGAACAAGCAAACATACAATTGAAGTACAGAAAGACGCGCTATTTTCCCTTCTGAATGTGAAAAGCATAGTGTATTTAATAAATTTCAATAATTCCCCCAATCGGTTTGGTTGAATTAAAAAGATAGCAATTTGTGATTGAGAATTAAAAAATATTTAACATTGTTCGAATCTTGATTAAATTACTGCAAACATTTCTTGCTATTGAATATACAATTACTATCTAACTCAAAAATTAATCATGGTACAAAACACTTCCACACTATAAGAATTGACGCCAATCAGCTTTCATGTCCAAAGAAAATTTCATCATCACCTTACTTTTAAAAGAAATAACGCAAAAATAAAACAAAATAGTAACACACAGGACAAAGGCTGCTAACAATGGAATGAGCGTACATTGCAATATTGTGAATAGCACTTTAATTAATGTCGCAAAGCCCTAACTTACAGCAAGGAAAATATAAATAAATCAGCATTTATTTGTAAAATAGAAAGAATCTTCTTTTAATTACCCAGCATTTCAATATTATCAACCAAAATCAAAAGTTTAAAATCAGAAACAGTCCCCCGGAAACTAAAAGGGGCTTACATAGATTACAGATGAACGACAATGAGGGTGTTGACTAGATTGAAATTAGAAGAGAGAGAGAGAGAGAGAAAGAAAGAAAAAAAAAACACTTTTTCGCCACTACACTCGTGAATTCGATGCTGACAAAAAAAGTCCCCAAAAGCTGGCTTTTAAGCTAGCCCAAACATTATCGAATACCCAACAAAATTCAACCGTAGTTCTCTGGAAAAAAATAAAAAAATCGACAAGACTACAAATACAGCTCTGTACATGTGTAATGTACGTTCAAATACCCAACAAAATTCACTAACCGTAGTTCTCCGGGGGGGGGGGGGGGGGGGAAAAAAAACCACA